ACGCAGAAATACGTTAACGCCTTCTTTTAGACCTATAAAACCCAGCGTCCTCTCTTAAAACACACACGGCTGCAAAAAACGCATCAAAAACACTCTTATCGATTCAAATTCTTATTAATCCAGAAGTAAAATTGGTTTGTTAATGTACTTTAGGGGGGAACCAGAGTCCGTATATATACACACAGCACAGAATAAAAGGAGCAGCAGTGATTTTTGGGGATTTCGGACTTGCTCCATCTCTGGCGTATACTCGAACTCCAGCAACAGTTAGAAAACGGTGCTTTACCTTTGTTTAGTTTGTACTTACGAACCACAGAGTATAAATGTGTATGGTTGCCAGGACGCCGTCTCAAGCAGGCGCCACTTAAATAAACAGAGGCTTCGAGACAGAAACATAGTGTAAAAACTTATTTAAAAATAAAAGGAAGCAATGTACAGAAGTTGCGAGGATTAAATGTACATCTTTATATATAATTACTGCATACAAAAACGGAGCATGTGAACTTAAGGTGTGTTCGGGTTGGTTTGGTCTGAGAGAGCATAAGGTTCGCTGTGAGGAAGCATCTGTTGCAACAACAGCCAGGCAGGCTGACGATGTTTAATCTAATTCTCCCCCCCCCATCTCTCCTCACCACCACCCGCCCCCGTATGAGTCAGCGCCATACCCAGGAGGCCGAGCTGCAGGCGACCTGCCAGAAAATGCCCTCCAACAGCAGCTTAATGCACATAAAAAGGGTCTGTGGGAGTTTGCGGGGACGTGGTTGTGTTGTGGTGAACAACAAAGATCTGCTTCAGCTTTGTTGCTTTAATTAACGCGTGTGAGAGATTTGTTGCCGGTTGAGACGTTTGAACCTTTATGTATTTGTAAAAGTTTGCGTTCACACTGCGAGCAAACCAGCGAGTCGTTGGAGAACCATCCCCCCCCCAACAGAGCCGAGAGCACAGGGACACTCAGCTGATGAAAAAAGAAACGTTGGCCTCGGCTCTCGCCATCGTCAGCTGTTAGCAGCCGATCAGATACGAGCCAAAGCCTCCCCGTTTGCCTACTGAGGTATTTTCACCTCATGAGCGGGTTGGCGAGCAAACGGAAACTGATTAGAGACGAACAAATCTTCCACTTCTTGACACCTTCAGGGTCCATTAAGTAGCTGTTAGTTACGGAGCTTTCTATCATGTCACATTTCTCTGAGCACTTTAAGGATTTAAACGCTGACTGAATGTTTATTCTTTTACACAGAGCAGCAAAATATGATCTAATCTATCTTTTGATAAAGAGAAAATGTGATATTATAATGAAGAGATGCTCTAGCCAACAGTTCTTCTTTAAGAAAACATCTTTGTTTGGTAGAAACACCAACAAATGTCACATCATCATCGTGATTTTAAAAGTTTTTTCAGTGAAAATTAACATTATGTTTTTTTCTAACTAATAACTTTATATAAATACTAATATTTAACTAATATTACTTAACTTTTAGTCTTAATTGTATAATATAATCTTAACATCTGGTAAGTATGTATGTTTGGTATTTAAAAACACTTAAGTTTGTCCTATTGTTGGAAGTTGGATGTTCAAATTTCCTTTTTTTCTAAAATCCATGTTGGACTGAAGGTTTTTAACTCTTGAAATTGCCTAAAATCTTGTCTTTAAACCTTTATTATGGTGATTAAATTCAATATATTGAACCAAATCATAACAAAAGTTACCTCAGGACATTTTCAGAGTCACTACAGACTCCATACTCCTTTTTTTGGGCCACTTGAGGTAAATACATTGACATATTAATACCTTTATAAAGTAAAATTGGCGAATGAGTTAGAGAACAGTTTATAAATCCAGATATAGAGGAACATTAGCGTCATGTTTGTGTCTACCTGATGAATATAAAACCTATATTTATTCTCTTTTAGCTCCGTTTTCTCCAGAGAAAAATGTCTCTTCAGCTGTTAAACGCTCCACCAGCTGGTCTCTAACTGCGTCTGTCTGCTGTTTGCAGCTGAGCAGGTTGTGTTCAGTGCAGTTTGTTTTGCTGCTAGAAAACAACACTAATGAGACTGAACCAAAACAATGAGCTGAAAGATGCTACAATGCTCCGTAAAGCTGAGGAAGCTCTCTTAGCGTTAAATGTTACTACTGTAGAAACATGGTGGGTGAACATGGCGTCGATTCTTACTATCAGGTGATTATAGAGCCGTTTAAAAGCTATAAAGATGACGTGATATGATTGAAAGCTCTGGAACTGGAGCTACTAAATGAGGTGTGATTGCCCAATTTCGAGGTCAAGAATGATTTGAAATAATAAAACAAATCTTCTGCAGAAAAAAAACATCTTTTCGTGTGTTTTTAGAGGTCGAAGTTGGGTAATTATTCTGTTTTGTCAGTTGAATTTCAGCTCCTGTCTCCTGATTGCGTTCCTCCACCAGCTCGGCTGTTCGCAGTGTGAAAGCACAAAGTGACTCATTTCTTTTATTGCCTCCTTTATCCACTAATAACTGACCGGAAACACCTTTTAGTCTTCATCTGGGAATGAATACTGATTCGGGGGGGGAAAGAAAGAAAGTAAAAGCCTCAATTTCTCGACGAGTTAGTGCAAATTTCCTGTCCGAAGGTGCTTCCTCATAAACACATTCAGTGCTTCAGCGCTGATAAATATCAAAATGAGCAGCCGCTCGCTCCTCAGCCGCACTACAATGCTGCTTTTTTTTATATTTCACACAAACTGGTTCGAAAGGGGAGGGGTGAAAATAAAGGCACAGAGATTTGGACTTCTCTCCCAGTCCTCCCTCCCTCCCTCCCTCCCAACGTCTCGAGTGGCGGCAGCTTCGAGAAGTTTCTAGAAGGCTCTGTCGACCGCGATCAACATCAATACTCTCTCCACCGCACAGGACCCGACTGCCGGACCCGTGAGCTTCAGCCTTGATGTGTCAATCCAGCGGATATCGCCGCCTCCTCCCTTCCTCTTCCTCTCCCTCTCCTCGGGGACCTCTCTCACTGTCGCACTCCTCCATCAGTAGAAAGCAGTGGGTAGAAAACAAAAAGCTAAAGCAGCAGCAGAAATCCTCCGCTCCTCCGTCTCTGAGCTCCGACCGGGTCCATTTATAGCCGAGCGCAATCGTACAAAGTCACAACAAACATCTGAAGCGTATTACAGACTAACAGCTACACAAGCAGCGAGGGGGAAAGGTACTGTTCGCAGGCCGCCTCACAAAACAACATCTCCACACACATTTCTAGCTTCATTCTAACTTTCATCGACGGCTCTGTTGCACCGATCGGGAGATTCGGGTCGATACCGATACTCCAGTGATTGATTTTTGTTATGAATCACTTTCTTACTTTAATTGCAAAATAAGGATGAAATCAGACATTTGACTGTTTGAACTAACTAAAGTTATTTATTTACAACAACAAGAGGTCGGCCCGATACTGGCGGGAGTATTGGTATCGTGTTGGCGCCGATACGAAAACAGTTTTTTTCCGGTATTAATGCATTAAGGTTTGTAGTTTTCACAGTACTGATGATTAGCGATTTATCATTTTATTTATTCTTTCTCAGTTAATTTCTAGAATCTGTTAAATCATTTAACAGGTTAAAGAATATTTAATTTAATTATTTGTTTAAGAAAGCAGCTTTCTGAGTTCCTTTGCATAGTCTAATGGGTGCAAAATTTTCCTTCCAGCTCAATAATTCATATATTTTCTGTTATATCTGCTATTTTTAAATCACTGATCAGTATCGACCTCAAACTACCCACATCGGTCGGCTCTGGACACAAAATCTGCCACTGACATTGACGAATGCCGTCTTCTGTGAGTCAACAAGGTGAATATGAGACGTTCAGGCGGTAAATCGGGGCATCCCTCGTCCTCCAAAAACCTCAGCTTGTTCTTTTTTTGTTTTTTCCTGTCGTCATTTGACCGGTTGCTGCGACAGCTGTGGCGTGCGGGGTTTAGGAGGGTTTGCCACAGTCGTGTGAATTGGAGCGCTACCAGAGACACGGACCAAATGCTGAGGGGATAAACAGGGGTCACTGGAGTGGAGAGTGACCTTAACATCAATAATGCAAAACTGTTCTCTCTCCAATGACATCTCTGTTTAAACACAGATTGCCTGGCTTCATACCAGCCACAGCGCTGCCTCCAATGTTTCACCTTTTGATGCTAACCCCCCCCCCCAAAAAAATCTTTTCTCAATAGTGCAAAAGCACATTTTCACTGCGGATTAAAATTAATTTCCCATTTAACATTTGTTCACGCCATCTGCTTCGCCAAAGAGAATCCGACCAGAATTTGATTTCAATGCAAAAAAACAAGAAAAACACTTTTAGACTTTTTTTGGGGATATTTTAACGCCCATCGGCACAGTACCAACAGGTATCGCAATCTGGACCGAGCTCTTGTCTCACGGTGGCAGCGGGTCTCTAAAACGTCTCCATTTAAACAATCTGACACTCAGATTCATCAGATCAGACGGGAAGCCGCCGCTAAGCAATCCATCACACTCACAGTCTGGAGGATACGACCACTGGAACAGGCATTATTTAGAGCTTTGGCAGCGGGCTTCAACTACACACACACACACACACACACACACACACACACACACACCAAATACGATGACAACACACACACACACACACGTTCA